TTACTATTACTATTATTATTATTATTTTTAAAGTTTTAGTAGAGGTTTTACGGCGCTCGCAACTGTATAAGGTCATATGAGCGCCAGAAGATTAGAGGTGTTACAAGAGAGTAACAAACATAAAAAAGAAGGGGAGAAAAGGACGATAGACGTTTGACATCTTGACACACATTATGTTCTTTGTACATGTGCTAGTGAGCACTTTCTCGGGGCAGCCTCAATGTCCTTAAAATGTAATTAAGTATTGCTCATTGCCTTTGACTGGTTATCCACTCCTTATTTCCCATGGAGGCATTCAGTGACGCAGGTTGTTAAGCACCCAAAGGTTTTCATCATCTATATAGGCCTATTATTATAAATATTTGTGGGGCGTGCTGACAAAACGAGTTACTTCTCGCAATCCACGAATTGAAATATTGGCCCAAAATCGACATTAGGGTCAAATCTGTAGATTTTCTTTTGATGTCGTATTCTTTAACTATAACCCGTCTTTTATTATTTCATGCTTATAAATTGTAAAAACTTCACCTATAAGCGTGATGTATCTATTTTCTTAAGGCTTGAATCCGAGAAGTAGTTCATTTTGTCAACATGCTTCACATTTGTGAAAGATCGTCACTTTGGTCGCCCAAACCTTCCTAAAAACTTATTTTTCGAATTTGAAAAAAATTAACGGTAGTTCAGAATCATTCAAAGGGTGCACAGTTATATTAGGGAGTCTGAAGTCACTGTAGTTTAAATTTCAGTTTTTCTTTAGTTTCGTTTCGATCTAATCTTGGGAAAGTCAAGACGCCATTGTAAACAAGTGAGGCTTCCATTCACAAGCAGTGTGCAATGTACCCACAATGAATTTACGATCGAATCGATTCTTTCGAGTCCGTTCATCGAATGGGGTAGCCCGCTAAAAGTGGACTGGTTATCCCCTCTGTATTTGCCATCGAGGCATTCAGCGCCGAAGGCTGTTAAGCACCCAAAGGTTTTTATCAAAGTGTTATATTCCACAAGAACTAACTCACCTGAGTCCTCGGAGCCGAGCAGTCACCTTGACGTCGCTACTGACATCCCTGAAGGCATTTGGTGCCTGGAAAGAAATTCGATTAATACAATTTCTGAAAAACTTCTTCTGAACAATTTCCGAGATGTTAAATGAGATGCACATAACATCGTAACAAAGAAAGTGTTGGATTGGAATCCATAGGGTAAAAGGTCAAGGCTACGACCGCGTAGAACCTGGAGAAGAGTCACAGAAATTGACATACAGAAAAGTGGGAAATCAAGGAATAACATCAAGAGGCTAGCCCAGGATAGAGAAAGGTGGAAAGCGTTTGTTCGTGGCCTATACCCTGGTGCAGGGTGAGAAAGTGTTTGTCCGTGGCCTATACCCTGGTGCACGGTGAGAAAGTGTTTGTCCGTGGCCTATACCCTGGTGCAGGGTGAGAAAGGCAATGATGATGATGAAGGTAGGGCCTATATTCTTTTACTACTTTACTTTCAGTACCAGTTTTAGAGCACTTGAAACACAAACAGGTATATATATATTATATA